ATTTTAACGTGACGCAACCAAATCCTCTAAACCTCATACCTCCCCCGCGATAAATACTGACCGCCCCTAACAACCAGAAATGTCCATAGCTCAAACAAACAAACAAATAATAAAAAAGATAACTGGATTCTTAAAGGGGATTATTAATAAGGCTTTTTTTGCAGTTCAAAATTGAAGGGGACAACAGTGCGAGAGGCTCCTTTTAAGAATTTTACATTTTACAAGAGATAATCCAGTGTAGGAGATGAACTTTGTTCGTTTGTTTCACGATAGAGTCACTTTTGATGTAGATCGCGACGTTTCGACTGCAATACTGCTAGTCTTCATCAGGCGATGAGGTCAATTGTTTACGTCTCGCTATTTGTAGCACGTTGGTATGCTGTTATTAGTGCATTTCGATCCTCATTATTATTCCGGTTATTACATGGTGTTCCCTCATCGGTCCTCATAAATCGGCTGTTGTGTTGTTTGATCGTGGATACCCATAAATCGGCTGTTGTGTTGTATAATCAAACAACACAATCCCACGATGAACAGTAAGCATATATTTTATTACATAATCCAGTCTCTAACCCTAACCCTAGCCTTGCATGTATCAAGTTCTTTGCGCGGACTTACCAAACTCGTCACGTGCTCCTTCAAGCACCTCTTTGGCTGTCTGAAGGTCCGCCCCTATTTCTGTTTCCATGGCGGCAGAGACCATGACCAGAAGTTCGCTAGCATCCACCCTGTTATCGTCATCTTCATCGATGGTTTTGAACATTTCCTTCAGAAAAAAACAAATGATTACTTATAGAAACGAGTTAAAGTCGCTCGATTGATAGAGCCATGATAACAACAATAAAAAAATTTAAGGCTTCAGACTTCAATCCCTGACATGTCAAATCGTAAAATTATAAAAAAGAAACTCTGTACTATTTCTTTCAAATGCACGCCAATCGAAGAAACACTAGTTTCGACCTTTTTCAACCGCTAAAAATGAGCATTTCTTGAATAAAGAGAAAACACAGAAACATTTTACAGGGATTCACTAGTCATAATCTGAAAATGTGCTGTTTTAGCCTTTTCACTTCTTTTAATTTTAAGGTACATGTATGGCCCTCGGAGAACCTCAGGGTGACTTTGTAAACCCCTGAAAAGACATCACTTTATTTACCTTGAATATGACAATATGTTGAGCCAAATTTTCCAGGTCCAAGGCCAAAGATGCGTTTTCTGATTCAGTCCTGCAAAAAAGAAAAAAAAGTTTTGTCTGATGAGGAAACGATAAATAGAACATTTTCTTCAATTGAGTGATAAATCAATACAAGCCGCTTTGTATACTTTTACTTTACTTTGCTCTGTGATTGGTCTAGAAAACTCGAGCCACCATCGAGCTCTTAACCAATCGGATGACAAACTCAAACAATTCGCGACTTCTTCACTCGCGTTTTCCCGCGCTACAAGCTCTGAGTTCCCATGGGCTATCGAGACGTTTACTTTTGTTTTAATTGGTCACTGTAAAAAACGTTACTTTTCAGTGGTTTTTCGACACCGGATTGAATATTGCTCCAAAGGTTTGAAGTTATGAAGTAAGCAATAAAACAGAGTAAAAAACAAACAATTTACCTGACTCCATTTATGCGGTCGTTCAAGGCGCAGATGGCTGTAAATTCTCTTTTATCTACAGTCTCGTCTTTGTTTAAGTCAAACACCTAGCAGGTAAATCGAGTAAAACAAGTGGATTAAAATCGGAATTGGTGTAATCCATAATTTACGTTCTATAGACTCTCGTTCTTTATTTTCAATCCTTCCTTCAGAGTAAACTGCTTAAAAAATCTACCTTGATGACCGGTAAGCAGAAAAAAACAAAAATGGGAAAGATGAAAAATTCGAAAGCTAATCGACCGCATAAAATCAAACTTTATAATTATACGTGCCCGGGCGCAGATAAATCCATTGTCGACTGATATTTTGTAGTACGTTTACAGTACTTGTACCTTTACAAAGTGTTTGATATCATGTTTTGTGACAGCTGGCTGCATCCGCAGCTTAAGTTCTTGGAGCGTGACGCTTCCATTTTTGTCTTTGTCGACTTCGTCAAACAGTGTTCCAAACACATGCTTTTGTTTATCGTTGATTATTCCATAACGGACATCCTAACAAATATAACGTGTAAATAATTTTATCAGTCAGTCATTTAATTTGATATTAATACACGTAAAATGCAAGTTTAAGCCTGAATTTCTGTCTCTCCGTCTGTCTGTGTTTTTCTGTCTGTATGTTTGTCCCTCTCTCTGTCTGTCTGTCCATTTTCCTGTCCGTATGTCTTTCTATCTGTCTGTCTGTTTGTCTGCCTGTCTGTCAGTCTTCCTGACTGTCTGTCTGTCTGACTTTGCGTTTGTTTGTTTGTCTGCCTGTCTGTCTGTCTTTCTGGCTGTATGTCTTTCTGTCTGTATGTCTGTCTCTCTGTCCGTCTGACTTTCTGTCTGTTTGTCTGCCTGTGGGTTTGTCTCTTTGTCTGTCTATTTGTCTATCTGTCTGTCTGTATGTCTTTCTGTCTGTTTGTCAGTCTTTCTGACTGTCTATCTGGCTTCCTGTTTGTTTATCTGCCTGTCTGTCTATCTGTCTGACTGTCAATCTTTCTGACTGTCTGTCTGACTGTCTGTCTGCCTGTCTGTTTGTTTGTCTGCCTGTCTGTCTATCTGTCTTTCTGTCTGTTTGTCTTTCTGATTGTCTCTCTGTCTGTCTTTTCATGAGTCCTTCCGCATGTCTGTGGAAATATCAATGCGGATGCGAAAGGTCATCTACGAGAATAGTAGCTTGCGTAGAAAGTTCAAATCACTGTTTACAGGAGCTAAACAGAATTAAGTGGGAACACAAAACAAAACGAGATAATAGCTCAATTTCAAAATCTAAAAACCAAAACCTCGCAGAGATGTCTGTTGATTGACGCTGAATAATCGAAACTGTGAAACTCTTGAACGATGGTTGTTAAGATGAATTAAGATGACCCTGTTTTTTTTAGACATAGACCAGAACTACAAAGTAAATATCACTTACGGGTGTAAGAAATACTTCGTCTTCAGCTGCCTTTGACTCTGTGATTTCGGTCAAAAATGTCCTGCAATGAAAACGGAACAGCAATCCAGTCTTCGAGAAAAGATGATCACTCAGACAAATCTTGGTATTGATTTGGAATTACCACAACTAACACAA